TCACACCCCTCTCCTTCTTGCTAAGTGAAGTTACGTTCCGTCGTACCTCGCCGGAAAACATTCACTGTCGCCATAAACTACGGTGTTGCAGAAATAGTTGCTCTAGGTTGGTAATCTCGATGACCAATTTCGTTTATTGATGTCAATCTCTTGAATTACTATATTCCCATTGGTTTCTGTTTCCCGATCCAATTTTAATGCTCAAAAGTGTGTATTTATGTGTGCATAATCATTATTTTCTTGAGATTTGTAGAAGATTATTGACTTTCTTTGCTGAGGGTTTTGCTTGATGTTTACTCGTTTCAGGTTTGAAGGAAAGTTATCACTTGGTGGTTGTTGGATCTATAAGCTTGCATCTTTGAATCTCTGTTCGCACTTTTCACCTTCTCTCTCTAGAAAATGAGGACGGATATGGTGAATAGGTGTTTGAGTTTATCACAACATTCGATTCCACACTCACCTGCTGCTTCTTCTTCTTCTCCTTCTTCTTCATTGCAAACGCTGGCCTCTGCAATATCTTCACCGTCAGCAAAACGACGGAGTTTGACCCACCGCGCACAGGCTTACCGCTACGTTCACCGGTCGGCGATATTTGGGACGAAGCTGAAGAGATCCGACTCATCTAGAAAGCCGCAGCTTATCCAACGCGCCGTCTCCGCCAGCTTAGATGCAGAGTTTTCCGATGAAGAATTCTCAAAGAAAATTCGAGAACTAGCTCTCCAGTTTCAAGTTTCCGACGAATTTGGCAATAAAGAGAAGTATGACGTTTTAGCATTGGAATTGGAATTGGAATCGGAGAGCCAGAGCCCATTTGCTGGTTTGAAGATGGAGGTGCCTGACTGGCCAGGGGATATGATTCCGGCGAGTATTGAGCGAAAGGCGAACAGCGTTGAGTTGCCATTTTCATTACGAATTATCAAGAGGAAGAAACAATGGCAGGAGGGAATAAGAGACGCAGGTGAATCTGCCTATTGTTCAGTAAAAAAAGCTTTCTCTTCAATGGTGTTCATAATCCGAGAGCTTCAAAGCTACACACTTCAAATGAGAGAGCTTTTATACTACGAAGATTTACAGGGGATTCTTGTGAGAGTTCAGCAAGAAATGAACGCATCTTTCGTCTGGTTGTTCCAACAAGTCTTTTCCCAAACCCCTACTTTAATGGTGTACGTGATGATTCTTTTAGCCAATTACAGTGTATATTCAATGTCAAACAATATCGCACTCGCGGCGCCGCCACCTCCCGCCACCATAGAGTCGATTACAGAACACCAAAGTGAAACAAAATTCGATTCTTCATCAGTCAAGACGTTTTCCGTAAATTCAGGTGGGAAAACCACCTCAATCGGCGGAAACAACGGTGGCGGTGGGAAATTCAGGGCAGTTGCCAGCGGGACAGACGGCGACGGAAGATTTGATGGATCTATAACTTCATCGTCATCAATCGTAAACCCGACAAGGACTAGCGAGGAGTCGGTTTCTGGTCAAGCGAGTAAGGATAATGAATGGGAGTCATGGAATTCGATTGTGGATGAAGCTGACAGAATGCTGGGTGTGATCGGAGACGACGGCGATCTGGATCATGAAACTATGAAAAGATTTGTTTCTCCGGTGACTGTGAAAATCGAGGAAGAAGATACCGAAGATCACTCCAAAACAGAGCTTCTTTATCAAACGGGTCTCTCACAAGAACCCGACAACCCACTTCTTCTCGCGAATTACGCCCAGTTTCTGTACCTCGTTACAAGAGATTACGATAGGTACAAAAAGCCATTAATACTTGTCAAAATATCTCTTTCGTCTTCTTACATTTTCCCTTTTTGGCAAAAAAAGTTTGTGATTTTCTACTTTGGCACAGTTGGTTAACTATTTTTACATTTTGGTCCATGTAACAGAGCTGAGGATTACTTCAAAAGAGCTTCAATGGTGGAACCTAAAGACGCAGAAGCACTTAACAAATACGCAAGCTTTTTATGGCAAGTTCGAAAAGACTTGTGGGCTGCTGAAGAGACTTATCTGGAAGCCATTTCTGCCGATCCTACAAACTCTTTTTATGCTGCAAATTATGCACATTTCTTATGGAGCACCGGTGGAGAAGACACTTGTTTCCCTCTTGACTCGCCGGGAAATATGTTCTCCGACGAAGTGTGAATTAACTACCGGCGTCGGAGACGTGGGTTTAGCTTAGAAAGTTGGGATATGATAATAAACGAGATTTGAGCGGGAAGTGGTGGTGGATGGTTGAAAGGTGGGATATGATAATCTTGATTTTCCGGCGAAAGGTGGTTTGAAGTTGTCAAAAATTGTAATTAAGTTTTGTTGATATGAAATTATAAATGAAAATGAATTTAGGTGAACGAAAAGTTGCATTATTCTCGTGCGTTAAAGACTTATAAAGTCGTTTATCAAAGGTCAAAAAGTTTTTTAATGAGGGAAATAATTCGAGAAAGTCTAAATGTTATTATTATGGGTTTAGGTAAATTTTGGTCACTTAACTTTTGTTTTTGTACTCATTTGGTCACTTAACTCTTTTTAAGTTTTAAAAGGTCATCAAACTTTTGGTTTTATACTCATTTAGTCACTTAACTTTTAGTTTGATCATATTTAGTCACCTAACTTTTAAAATTGTGCTAATTTAGTCACTAAACTTTTAAATTTTTTCAAAAGTTCAGTGACTAAATGAGCACAATTTTAAAAGTTGGGTAACTAAATGAGCACAAATCTAAAAGTTAAGTGACTAAATGTGACCAAATCAAAAGTTAAGTGACTAAATGAACACAAAGTCAAAAGTTTAATGACCTTTTAAAACTTAAAAAGAGTTAAGTGACCAAATGAGCACAAAACCAAAAGTTAAGTGACAAAAAATGACCTAAACTCTATTATTATCATTTGTATTGTTAGAAGTGCGTTTTAATTTAAATTTAAGATAAAAAAAAATGAAAAGTAATTTCCGGTTAAGATATTAAATCGAAGTTATAAAGCTTTGAAGTGTTTTTGAAGGACCAAATGAAGTCAAATCCAATTTCACGTGATCAAGCAAATAAAGTTTTTGCAATTTGCAAGCGACCCTTGAAAAGTAGTTTAATTTCTCCCTGCCACTAAAATTATGACATTTTTTATTTTACTTATAATGTTTTGTATGAAAATCTTTATTAATTTATAACTAATAATGTATTTGTTTATTGTATGTATACATATACCTTTCTAGATACAATACAAAATTAGGTGCTATAAAATCAAACTCGAGATAAGTTTTTCTTCAAAGCTTTTGTTGATTTTCATTCTCATGAGACTAAGAGAGGTGGGTGTGGGCAACGCCCACACGAGTTACTAGGCTAAAAAACAAAAAAACACCGTTACCAAATGTGATGGTGGTAACGGGAAGTAATGCGAAAGCCTTTAACATGTAATAACGGGAGGGAGGGGCGGTGTTCATTGGCGTTATCACGTATTATGAGGCACAATAACGGGTCTGAGTGGTCTAAGAAATTACAATCATATTTAACTCTATTATTTATAAATTATAATATAATAAATATATATATATTTTTTATTTTGCATGGCAACACATGGAGAAGTGTCATGAATGGTAGTACGTGCTGCAATAAAAGTAGTACGATATAACACATGACGTGTGACGAGCATTGCCGTCAATATAAAGCGGGGTAGGTACTAAATACCAATGTACCATGGCTTTGAGTTTCGGTCTTTCTTACACGATATCATCAATTATGGGCATTTTTGTAAGGGAAAATGACTTATGTGAGTAATTAACTATTATTTTTGTATTTGTTTGGTCATTTTCCTTTTTCTTTTATCTGATTTACCATTGAACTTGTTGTAGGTGTTCATAGAAACCATTGAAACCGGCTATTGAAGGTTTCCGGCAATTTCTTATCTCTTACGAATCTCCGATCGTCTTCTCCAGCGAGCCTCCGGCAAAAATGAGTTTTTCCGGCTGACTTTTCTCAACTTTATTTTTAAGTTCAATGGTAAAAAAAAAAAAAAAAATGGCCAAACAAACACAAAGGCAATAATAATTAATTACCCACATAAGTCATTTTCCCTTTTTGTACATTCATCTGTGTCTACATAATTCAGACCAATGGACTTGCCTTTATTGACTCATTATGGTACACTCCACAACATGTTTACACATTTCAGAAGTGGCATTTATATGTATTTTAATTTTATACATATGCTTTTTTTACATCAATGAAAATGACTTGTAATCATTTCCTTATTTATTGATCAATTGTCAGATCATACGATAGATGTCAACATATGAAAATAATTAAAACATCCGGGTCACACCAAGCGAGTTTGATCATAGTGGTTGGATGGGGTAATGTTATGTTTGGGCCAAAAGGATTTTATAAAATAATGGAGTTATTGATTTGGTAACTGAGGCCAAACACAAGATGACGCCCAAAACATGTGAATGGAGATGGTAACTTTAGCTACTTGCCATTCATGTCTCCGCCATCCCTATTTTGTGCCAATTCCATGTGCAAATACCACATCAAAATCACTTTCGTTACACCATTAATAATTAGGGTGAAGGGCATGGTATCGGCATGTCTGACTCGTGTTTAAGGTACCACCGGCTACACCTCCCCATGTAGCCGGTACCGAGAAAAATCATGTTGCTGCAGATATGAGTGTCAATCGATGATACAGCGCGGAAAAGATACACGAAACGAAATTGGGACAAATTCGAATTTGTGTTCGCGTCGTGTTCGTATCAAGTGTAAAAAACACGATATTATGTCGTGATGTGCTCGTGTTAAAAATTCGACACGAAATCGATATCATTTAGCATGTGTTTGTCATGTTTATGAGTTATATATGATTAAACTAGGTTATAACCCGTGAAAACCACGGTCGGTATATTTTTAAAATTTTTATATAGATAAAAAAATTAATAAATGTCAAAAAAAAAACCAAGATCTTGTGTATTGTAACTAATTATGAATTAATTTGTTAAGCAAAATAAACATAATAATGTTATTAGGATAAGATTTTGTATATTCAAAATTTGAATTGAATTTGATTTGTTACAAAAAAAAAAGGAAATAATAAAAATCATAGAAAAATACTACGTGTCAAAGACATATTTTAACTGACACGTGTCATTTTTAGGTTTCATTTATTAGAAGATGTAGATATGAATTAGATAACATAATAATTTTATTATGTTATTTTTATAGTGTCGTATCGTGTTTTAATTGATTCATTTTCGTATTAATGAAAATAAACACAATATCATGTCGTGTTATGTTCGTGTTATATAAAACTTTATCATGACGTGTCAGACAAAAACACGACAAGATAACCCGGTGTTACGCCCGATTTGACACCCTATCTACAACATGAAGAAGACATCGACTTTTGCGTCAGGATGGTTAATAAATAAAATAAGAAAAAGGAGAAAAGTTGATGTAGAGTTACTATGAACAAAGAGATCATTCTCTTTCTCTTGCATATAAATAAGACTAATAATTTAGATTTTTTTTTGAATATAT